GGGGGGGGGGGGGGGGGGGGAAATCAGCAACACAGACACATATCAATACAAAGCTAGTCTTCCTGTAAAACACTGTAGTAGCCGCAAGCAGTGACATCACATCACCGCCCCTCGTCCAGGTGGCATTCATTCATAAACATACCAGGCGTTTGTTAAATGGCCCCTGTGCGACTCTGAGGGGAATTTATCAAAACTGGAGCAGACAAAATCTGGAGCAGCTGTACATGGCAACCAATCAGCTTCTCTCTTCAGTTTGTTCAGCTAAGATTTGAAAATAAAAGAGAGCTGCTTATTGGTTGCCGTGCACAGCTGCTCCAGATATTGATAAATTCCCCTCTCTGTGTTTTCACAGCAGAGGGTAAGCTGCTCAGCGCAGCAGTACAGGACCCCTGAAGATTGCTGTAAAAGTACTATAGGCGCCGTGGCTACAATAGTGTTTTACAGGATCTTTGTGAACCTACCAGGTACACTGCCAAAAAAAAAAAAATCACACAATCCACACTTCACCAAGAAGTAGTGATGATTGGAGAGTCGGATCACTGCATAAAGTCTTCTCCAGCACATCTCACAGATTCTCAGTGGAGTTAAGGTCTGGACTCTGTGGTGGCCAATCCATTTGTGAAAATTATGTCTCATGCCTCCTGAACCACTTTTTCACAATCTGAGCCCGATGAATCCTGACATTGTCATATTGGAATATGCCAATGTGCCATCAGGGAAGAAAAAATACAATGGAAAAACCATTGGATGGAAAAACCTGGTCATTCAGTATACTCGGATAGGCAGCTGACCTCATTTTTTGGGCACATAACTTTGCTGAACCTAGACCTGACCAACTGAAGCAACCCCAGATCATAAAACTGCACCCACAGACTTGTATGGTAGGCACTAGGCTTGATAGATGCAAGAGTGATGCTTGATTTGCCCATCACTCTAAAACAGGACCACATGTCCAATCTTTATGCTCCCTAGCAAACTGAATCATTTCTTCCCCAATTATCTTCAATGATGAGTGGTTTTCTTAAGGCTACACAGCTGATTAGTCCCAATCCCTTGAGTTCTCTTCACAATGAGTGTGGAAATGCTTTTACGTTCACTATTAAACATAGCTGTGAGTTCTACTGTTGTTTTTTTACGATTTCATTTCACCCAACGTATATGTGATCTCCGATCACGATCATTTAAGATTTTGTTCCGACCACATTTCTTACTCGATGATAATGGTTCACCACTATCCCTCCAGGTTTTAATAATACGTTGAACAGTTCTTAACCCAATTTCAGCAATAACTTTAGTGGTTTCCTTTGCAGGCCAATAATTTGACCCTCCTTAAACAGAGTTACATCTTTTCCACCACCACAGGATATGTCTTCTGACATGGTTGTTTAAGAACTGTGAAGCTACTCACTGCATCAGGGTTAAATAACTTGATGTCAGATGAAAATATTAATCACTGCAGTAATTATCCAATGGAAGGCTCTGATCTATTTGCTTAGCTAAATCCACGTGGGGACTTTTTTTTGGTCAGGCAGTGTAAAATATATGTATACTTACATTGGGCCAAGCTGGACCAATGAAACTATACATAAACATTTATACCTGGAGGTCAGCTTTAAAATTCTGACTGTGTCTAATAATCACAAGAAAATAAATCCAATTTGTGTATTCTCAGGCTAACAGGACAATTCTGTGTGTAGCCTCAGCTATACCCCACTACACCCAGTTCATGGTAGGTCAACATTCTGTAGCTTTTACAGTGTGTTTAGTGTAAGATCCATGAAGGTATTTTGGGGATCTTCCTCCATGTGTGGGAACGTGAAGCACACCATCACAAACACACTGGAAATGTAATGCATAATTCACAATATGTTTTATATAATTAACCTACACAGAATATCCCCAGCTCTCAATTCTTAAACAGCTCCTGAAATACACAAAGAAAAAAGAAAAAAACTTGGCAATAACCATATTAGCTAAAATGTCAATTACAATATCCTGAAGCCAATTTTTTAAGTGAATACTCAGTTTTGTGTTGGTGTTAATTGTATAACCTTTGCATTCTTTCATTTCAAAAGGATCCTCAACATACTGTATAACTAAAATCTATAAAGCTTGTTCCACTGTGCCCTACTAAGCAACAAGTGAAACCAATCAGTGAGCTAGTAATGCTATTTAGGCTGCAACAACTAAATCGATTATTGAAAAAGTTGTCAACGTTTTCAAATCATCGATTAATCGGCTTTCGATTAGTTGGCCCTGTTCACGGCTCCACACACGCGGCGCACCTCCTCCATATCCACGATCGGCACAGGGATGCGTGGAGAGACGCAAGGAGGAGCAGGTGTGGGGGGATGACAGCCGCCGATAAACAGGCCCGATCTCAGAAGCAAGTTGCTGGAAGACTGCTCAGCTAAGCGTGTACTTTCCCACACATGGTGCTCTAATGCTATAATGTACTATTGCTGGGATTTGTTGTATTCCTCTATAGCCGGTGCCATTCTGCATTCATTTGCTCTATAATTTTACTATATTGCACACCACATTTTTTTTTTTTTTTTTTTTACTTCCACCGCTCCATGCTTGCTCCTGTGATGGACTACAATCTCAATACAAACTAGTAGTCCCATCACTGGAGCCATTTTTAAAAATGTATTTTATTTTTTATCCGATTAAATCGAACTTAATAAAAATCAGTAAACGAAATCGATTTTGAGAATAATCGTTAGCTGCAGCTCTAAATGCTATCCAGCAAACACTCCAGCTGCAATCTTCACTAAATTTACATTAATATGAGCCATCTGCGACCAGAATTAAGATAGCACCCTCATTGAAGCCTTTATCAATTCTCTCCGCCTCCTATATTATATTCAAGCTTTCAGGCAGGTTTAAATATGATTGATGACTGTGCCAGTAGTGACCTTTTTACAACAGGCTTTCTTCATGCGAGAAAAAATAACCTGCAGTAGGCTGTTTGGAAACATTTTCGCCCGGTGCCCGCGCCCCTGCTGCACCCCCGGTTGTTACGCCACTGCTTATACATACTAGCAGTGGAATCAATCCCTGTATTGAAAGGCTAATACACTGTTTTTCTAGTTCAACCCATTGTCTAGTTTCAAAAATATAAGCATTAGTCATTCTTCACGAGTACACTTTTACAATTCAGCTATCACCAACCCTGCTGGCAGTATATTAGTCTGAATATTCTCACCATAAATGGCCTTTCTAAAGATTGGTGGGCATTCCCCACTTCAGTATACAGTGGATGAGTCCTTGTCACCTGGACAGTCCTTGTTCTGGAAACCTCCAATATATTTTTAAAAATGTAATAAAATATTACATTATTTAATCTTAAGATGTCTTTATCTAATGAGAACCTCCTTGTCATTCATTATAATTTACATCCTCCATTCCCCCAATCAACACCCATCCTAAAACCCTTAACAGCCAATCGGATCATCTCCCAAGTACCACCTATTTGTCCACTGAGTAATCCATGTAGCATGAATGTAGTGTTTGGCTCTACTTCTCATGCTAAAAGCAGCACAGTGCGTATAGTTAAAAGGCTGGACTGAAAATAAATAATATCCTTGCTGTTTACCGTTTGTCTCTGCGATCCAGGCAAGTAGTGGTATTCTGTATCTGAGGTACCAATAGGTGGGAGCAGATTATTTCGGTTGAATGGAACTGGGGAGCAGGACAGCTGGTCATTTGCAGTCTGACTGTCCTCAACAAAATATATAAGACATTTGCTGTAAATTAAGTTCAGCTAATACATTCTTCACATTTAATTTCTAAATATGGTTTCTTAAATAATACTCTACACCAAAAAAACAATAACTACATTAAAAGGAAAAAAAAGACTTCTAGGACCCATTCATATCAGTGTGCTGCGGTAATGCGCTGTGGTGCCATTCACAATGAAACACAGTGCACCACAACTCACAGTAAGGCACTACGTGCATAGTGGTGTGCTTTAGCAAAAATGCAGCAGGTGTGATTTTTGGTCTGTCCATTCAAATCGATGAGCTGCCTTAACGCATGCACCTTAATGTGTGGCATAAGACGCTTGCGTTACATACACTACATTAGATCTTACTGGTGTAACTGGACCTTTAAGCCTTTAGTTCTTGGGATTTTGAGCCCCTACAGCAAAATAACCTTATTTTAATACAAAAGGAAATGCTTTTTTTTCAGTGCTACATAATATAATGATGAAAGGTTTCTTTTAACTTGCCCCCAAGGCCTCTAGTCTTGGGGGCAAGTTTGACTATAGGGGCCTAAACTGTGAAAGAGTATTCTGTTACGAAGCAAAAAAGGAAATGGTACCGGAAAAAAAAAAAAAAAAAGGGTAATGATGCCACTTGGGCAGCAGATACCAATAGCCTTGATACGTACAGTCGTGTTCCCCTGATGACTTCTTCCATTTTTGGTGTACAGGACCTGGAATTATTAGGGTTATTGTTGATTGGGTGAAGGGTTCGTGGAGGGTTCCGCCGTCTTGCTGAAGGGACATTATGAGACAATGAAGAGGAACTGTGTTCCAGTGGTCGGCCTGGCCGTGGTTTCCCAGAGATTACAGCAGCAGAAGTGGGTCTAATGGGTGGCTTGTCATCAGAATCTCTATAAAAACCAGCAAAAAAGAAAAAAAAAAAAAAAAGTCAGGATTACATGACAGAAGTACAAATCATTCACACAGGTACATGTAAAGAGGAATGTGTCGGACCTTAAAAGGCACATTCCACCTTTGCAAGTATGTAATAAATGCAGCCACATATATACAACATGCACATTTATTTAATTTTAAAGTCTGCAGAGCAATGTAATTGTAATCAATGCGTCCTGGATGCAACGCACAGTCTCCTGCATTCTTTACTCCAAGCCCCAGGTCTCTACAGAGGTATGGATATTCCGTTATGGGGCTGGAGGAAGTAATCAACGGACTACAAGTGCAGCGACATCACTGCACTTGTGCTCCATTGATATATGCGAGTTCCAACTGCTGCACAGTGTAGTCCTTTTCCAGTCATCCATTTCATTTCAAGGAGCTGAAAAAGATCATTTGCTCAACAATACACTCATATACATATGTAGCACTTAATAAAGCAGTTTATGTGCCAAATAAATATCATTTTGCCCTTTAGGAGGTTAGAAGAGCAGGAAACCTAAAGACTGCATTCTTTACCCCAAGCCCCAGGTCTCTACAGGAGGTATGGATATTCCGTTATGGGGCTGAAGGAAGTAATCAATGGACTACAAGTACAGTGACATCACTGCATTTGTGCTCCATTGATATATGCAAGTCCATCAACTAAAATGTTTATAGACAATTATGAAAAGATGACAAGACTCACAGGACTTTGTCCATAAGATGGAGATTCCTCTGCTGTAAAGGGATTCCATGAATCATCATTAATTCATTGAGGTTACGTTGATTCACGATGCTTCCTCCTTGAGAACGATTGGCCTGCAATCCATAGCAAGGTATTAGCCTTACAGTCTTAGACACTACAGGGTGATGCTATCTAGATTAAAAAAAACATTTCCAACCTGAAAATATGCAAAGATGAGCACGTGGTCATTAACGTTTTTGAAATGAATCATGTCATCAGCACACCAAGATACTCAGAGGCATGACCACGGACTCACAGCTTTGCAGAACATGTCAGCAGGGTCACAATACTGTACAGGTCATTAATATAAGTTGGAATTGTAACCTAGTGTGCTGCTGAAATTTAAAGGGACATGTAAACATTCCTATAATAAAGATTATATGATTTGATGTCAATTTGATTTTACTTCTCATTTTTTGGAAGGTTATTTTTTACATTATAAAATAAATGAAAGATGATCCTTTGTATTTTATTCCTTTAACATGGGAGTAGAAGCAGCTGCACATCACTAACCACATGTGATTAAAGAAGATTTTTAGTAAATACATACGTGGGAGGATCTCCCTTTCTTTTTTTTCCTTGAGACGTGGCTGCACTGTAAGCACTAGAACATATAGGAGCCCAAAGAAGAGATAGCAGGCAGAAAGAGAACAGAACACAATGAATGTAAAGAAGTTAAGAGAACTTAAAGAAGAGGCAGAACAGGAACAAACACACAGAAACCCAACAGAACACAGGCAGAAATGGCGAAAGCACAAAAAGTATAGCAAATCTGTTGTCTGAAGCCAATTTAGGGACACGGGCGGTTTTACTGAATGTAACACAAATAGCCCACAGTGAGAATAAGTTACATTTTATTGTGAACCTTCTTATAAAATATATTCTCAGCAATACTGTAGCATTTATGTATCAGTCAACTGGGCAACGATCAATTTATCACAAGATGATGTCCTTAACATTTAGCCCCCATTTGCACCTTGGCGCTTTGTCATACACAAAACAAAACGCTCAGCACATGAATTCCCATTGATTTCAATGGCACCCATTCACACCGGAGCGTTTTGTCCCAAGCTGCAAAACACCCGTCACCGGAAAAAGTTCCAGAGCTTCTTTTGGGTGTTTTGTAGCACGTTTGGCTCCATAGACTTCAATGGAAAAGCCTGAAAAACCTGCAACACAAGCGTTCTGCATATTTCTGTGCGTGTTTTTGCACACGTTTCTACATTGACCCCCAATGTCAAAGACGCACGCCATCATGTGCATGCGTGTAACATGACTCCAGCAAACTGAAATCTAAGTAGTTGCTATAGTTTATTGCACTGTGCACATCCTCCCTACACTGGACACTACATAAGCCTGAAAATGGTGTTCTACCGATATCATGTTCTCCAGATAGAGGTATTTCAGTCTGCAGATGAATGTAAAGCACAGCACAAAGGGACTGCTAATAGTTTGTTTCAGTTTTACTGCCAAAAGTGCCATTATCACAGAAAATGTAATTTGGTCTCTGTATGTCGTTAATACATAAAATTGTAGTAATTAGCATACAAATTATCTTTAATGTCATAAGCCTGAATTATATATTTCTCCACATTTACACACAGACTGAGCTGTCCAGCAAAAGTGATGGTGACAGGAGACAAACAGCACTGCCAATAGTGCTTACAACAGTTACCGTTTCAATCTTTTAAAAAAAAAAAAAAAAAAAATGTTGATGTGACTGATAAAACACTTCTGGCAATTACAGTTTGTTCCTACCCTTGTCACCGTTACTTTTGCTGGACAGCCAAGTCTGTATATAAATGTGGAGCAAATCAAAAATCAAAAAGTGCAATAAAAAAATAATTCATATATGGAATGCTATAGCTGCAAGTAATTACCATGCATGGTAATTAGGACATAATCATCTTTGTGACAGCCATGCTTTTGAAAATGCTGCAGTTATTCCCAATGCGGGGATAAAATACAGCCATTCATTTCAGCAGCTAGTTGTAAAGATACAATCATCATGTCAAAGTGGGATTACTCTTACCACATTGGGGGAGATGGCAGGAATTCTGGAATGTGGAACAGGAGGTAGAACCAATGGAAGACGCTGGAGAGGAGCATATGGATTAAGAGACTCCACTCTAGTGGTTTTAATTGCTGTGTCATGTGTGTCATCATCTGCAAAATAATATAGTTATCTTTAAATCAACAAGCAAATAAAGCCATTTCTATATAAAAGACTTACATGCAGACGTAAATTCTGAACATAAATTTAAAGGATGACTTTACGGTGTTATGAAATGTGCTTGTCCATGTTATAAAGCTCTGTGTATTTTGTTAATTTAATGTCTTTTAGTATCAGGAGCCATAAATGATGATTTCTATATAGCACTGTACTTTGAGGTAGATGCAGAATAAGGGCAGCCCAGTATCATTTTAGCTAAGGCACTATCACCGCCCGAAGGACAGGTAAATAATAATAATTATTATATTATTATTCTTTTAAAGGCGGACTTTAAATCATTTCTTTTCTAGTGACATGGCCACTTTAACACAGACATCAAGTCTAAAAGGCAAACATATACACTCCCCACAGACGCCAAGTCTAAAAAGGCAAACATATACACTCCCCACAATATAGCCAAAAATGCAACAAACTGTGCAGAAAAACCTTACATTTAATTTTTTTTTTTTTTAAATGGACCCGGGCACTTCCTGGTCACAAGCATCCGAGGCAACTCATGGCTTCCAAATGCATCATGGGAGATTATGTCAAGCTGCCATCCTGTAAGCTGTCCAGCCCTCCTCCCTAGCTACACAGGGAGCAATCTTGGATAATCCTCTGCATGCCTTGGCCTCCAATTAGTAAAAGAGGCAGAAAGGTATGCCATCAGGCTCCATGACTCTATTGTAATGCTGCATTTCTGCATAGTTACATCTTCTGGACTCTGTATTTAAAATGCTGCACAGAGTAGTCACTTTCCAGTCATCTATTTCATTTCAAGGAGCTGAACAAGATCCTTTGCTCAACATTACACTCATATACATATGTAGCACTTAATAACGCAGTTTATGTACCAAATAAATATAATTTTGCCCTTTAGGAGGTTAGGAGAGCAGGAAACCTAAAGACAGCAGTCTCCCAATATAGATCTGAGAGGCAGTGGGCTGCCTGGGCTGCTTTTGACCAGTGCTGGATATAATGATTTTGTATTTATCTTCAATGTGTAGTTTTCTGGACAATCTATTGTATTTTGGCTATACAAATATGAGGTTTAGATTTTAGATCTTCTTAAACTACAGTGATGTTTTGATGTGTATACTGAGCATAGTGGCAGACTTTCACGACACTCACCAGTGATTGATTCTTCCCAGTATCTGAAAATGAGCTCCTCCAAACAGCTAACTGCTTCCCTCCAGACATCATCGAACAGACAGGCCAGCACAGCCTCTTTTTTGCAGTACTGTGGGGAAATAGGTGGGTAACCCATCTTCAGGCTGTCCAAAGACATTACTCTGTGCCATTCGAAGAGCTCATCATCCCTAAAAAAAAAAATAATAATAATAATTTGTCTATTTGTTTATCTGTTTGCAGCAGCCAGAATAGAAGTAAATCATTTGTCATGTAATTCTGACAAGAAATAGTCATGTAAATAAAACTTTTTAAATGTGTGAATGTTGAGACATGTTTAAGGTTGTTCTGGAGTAGCAGGATCATATTGCTGCCATGTTACCTGCCAGCAAATCATTTTTCAGTGACAATATCTTACTTATCTCGGCTGTCAAAGGCAAAATATTCTTCCATAATGCCATCTGACATGATGACACCTACAGCATCCTCTTCGTCTTCTTCACCAGAGAGGGAAAAGGACACCAGGGTGCTGTAGTCACTAGTTGTGGAGAGAGGGAATCTTGTACCATAAATACCCAGCCTAAAAAAAAACAAAAAAACAAAAAAAAACACAATATTAAATTAGGGCACTTCAAACTACTAGGATATCATTTTTTCACATACTTAAGTGCATGGTGCATTAATAATCTGTTTCCGTAGGTATTCTCCTCCCCAACTCACTGCATGCTGCACAGGGACACCTACACTATATGGCTAAATGTTTTTGGACACCTGGCCATTACACTTGTATCATCTTGCTATCCCAAAACCATGGCTTGGAGTTGTCCCCCCAACCTTCTTTGCAGCTAAAAACAGCCTACACTCTTCTGGGAAGGCTTTTCACAAGCATTTGGAGTCTGTGGGAATATGTTTGCATTCAGTCAAAAAAAAGCATTTAGGAGGTCAGGTACTGATGTTGGACAAAAAGACCCGGATCGCAACTCGCATTTCATTTAATCTCTCGGGAGCTCAGTAGGGCTCAGGTCAGGACTCTTTGCAGGCCACTTGAGTTCCTGTACAAGAAACTTATCAAACCATGTCTGCCTGTTATTGCCTTTGTGCACAGGAACACAGAAATGCTGAAACAGATAAAGCCTTTCCCAAACTTTTGGCCCAAGTTTGGAAATGCACAATTGTAAAAAAAAAAAAAAAAAAGTGTTAGATCCTGTAGATTTAAAAGAACTATGGGATTAAGGCTTTTCCCCATAGTTCTTCTTAGGGTAACGGGATGACACAAACTAGTGTCCTCCCGTCACCCTAGGCTCAGTATACCGCGAGCTGTAGCTGCTGCTCGCGGTATACTGAGACGCCGCAGCTGAAGCGGATCCCGACAATTGTGCCAGGATCCGCCCAGCTGCGTGACTGACAGCTGGCTCTGCCTATCTAGAGGCAGAGCCAGCTGTACCTGCCCCCTCCCCCGTCCGTTCCGCCAGTCAGCGCTGGTGGATCGGAGCAGGGAATCCAGCCCCTCCTCTGTCACGGCAGAGAGCTGTGACAGGATCGAGAGGTGAGCGAACGCCGGTATGTGTTCGCTCACCTCCCGATCTACTGAGCCGACCTGTGAGAGTCTCATTGTCACAGGTCGGCTAGAACTATGAGGTGAGTGAAAAGCACTCACCTCATAGTTCTCTTTTAACAGTACCCTTCACTGGAAACATCTTAACACAATTTTTAGAACATGAAAATATGAGGAATGGCATATTGTGTAAATAATTAATCCCTTGTTATATCAAATCAGCCATTTGCAATAAACATTTTCATCAAAGCCTCAAAATAGTTATTTACTCATACAACACTCACTCATTGGAATCTCTTCCATGGGTTGAAATGTAGGCTGTAGAAGAAGCAGCTTCTGAGGGCTGACTAGAATACCATCGGTACCCATCTTCCACTGGAGCCACTGTCTGCCTGCCTTGTATTCTAAAATATCAAACATTGATCAGAATAAGCACAGACAGAGAGGAGGAGAGCTCTCAAACAAAAAGAAAACAGAGTAAAAACTAAAAGGTTATATTGCAAACACGGTTCACTTTTGTAGATATAGTAAATGAGTTAGTTTGTTTACAATGTAGTGTTAGATTAAGAAAAAGACAGCCAAGTCAAGTCTGCAAACACAGTGAAATACCGCAGATGTGGGAAGGATGACATCCATTGATGGCACTCTTCTTGTAGACCTTCCACCAATGTACTGGCTTTCTGTTCATAAAGCAGCTCATCAATCTGCTTGAAAATCTTTTGCACCTGTCGTGTTGCGGCTTTGTCAAACTCCTATGAAAAGAAAAAAAGTAGCTCATACCACAAGTTCCATCTAAAATGGCTACAAATGTGTATGTGATTTCAACTGTTACTGGAATATCCCTATCCTTAGTTCCCATAATAAAAAAATGTTAAACATATTATAAATGTACTTTCTAATATAAAAACACAAAGAAACATTCTAAATCCTGTTATACACATGTTATATGTGCTTTCTTTCTGTCCACTAAAGTCATTAGCTAAAGCACCCTTTCTACAGCCACAACTAGATTTTATAATAATATAAGCAGGGCTCAGAATTTCAAGTCCTGAGCTCCTAGCCAGGCATCAAGAGTTACTCGCCACCAGTTGTCCCAACTAACCCCTACCCTGGCCTTAACTCCGCCAGGTCAGCAGTGTGATGCAGAGTACAGAGGCCAGCAGTGCGACGCACAGTACTGAGGCCAGCAGTGAGACGCACAGTACAGAGATTAGTAACCACGCAGAGTGCAGAAGTCAGCGGTGTAATGCAGAGTACAGAGGTCAGCGGTATGACGCACAGTACAGAGGTCAGCAGTACAGAGGTTAGTAATGTAATGCACAGTACAGAGGTCAGCAGTATGATGCACAATACAGAAGTCAGTAATGCAACGCATAGTACAGAAGTCAGCAGTATGACGCATAGTGCAGAGGTCAGCGGTGTAAGGCAGAAAGAACAGGGGCTTACAGTGCACATAGCTGATCTGATTCAGGTGCCCTCTTGGTGGTGGTGGTGGTGGTGGTGGTGGTGGGTACAGAGAAGTATCTTCCATGTACCGAGGGGAAGCCTCTCTTCAGGTCCCGCGCTGAATACATTTCCAGCTGGTCAATAGTAGCTCTGCAGCCTTCCAGGTGATGTGGGCGGAGGAGTCGAAGTGAAGGGAAGAAAGCCAAACTGATTCTTCTTCTCGGCCGCTCTGTAGCTGCAGTGGCAGAGGAGGATAAGAGAAGGAAGAACTGACCGAGCGATCGCCGCTGCAGAAGCAGCAGTAGTTTGCATCCCTCCCGCAATTTTCACTCGCCAATTGCGAGGGGGAGAGTGGACATTTTGAGTCCTGATGCAATTTCCTGCTACCTGTACAAGACTACAAATCATAGGCCTCTTTCCTCTGTGTAGAAAAAGCATTGCATAAAATATAAAAACCTGACCCAAAACTATTATAGTTTTGCAGATTCAGTGTGCTTCCCTTTAAATTTCAAATCAACCAGTTACTGTACTTACATCAAAGCCCCAAGAGATAACCGAGCTGTTATCAGTGGACAGTTCAGCACAACTTTGAAATTCTGACCATGAAACCTCTGTGTCATTTCTCTGGAATTCAGAATTTTCGGAATCCTCGGATTTACTGGAAAAAAATATATATGTTCATTAATCTTGTCATATAAACAATTTAAGGATTAGTTACATCTTATTAACTGCTAATTTTTGCCTAGGGTCAAAAAAAAAAAAAAGCTATACTCACCTGATATTCCAAGCCAGCCGGCTCTTAGACCAAGAGTGTCTCTCCCCCTCCGTTGCAGCAGTCTAGGAATCCTCGTCCAAGTGTGTAGGACGTAAGGAAGCCAAGGGACATACTGCTGCAGCAGAGGCAGAGACAGGCTGGAGGGAGTGCTTTCGGCTCCAACGATCAGGTGAGTATAACTTTTTTTTTTCCCCTAGACAAAAAATGAGCAGTTAACCCTTGCAGTGTGGGAGTAGCCCCACTGTAAGGGTTAAAACAATGTTTACATTTCCAATCTGTTGGTTTAGTACATGTTATATATTATATAACCACCCATTTGCAGTTTGACATTTAAAAAGGTAGATGGTGTAGGATCCTCGCAAATAGAGCAATTTCCAGGGCAATCAAGGCTATGGATTTGGTGCTTCTAAAAATGGTGAAAACGCACAATCGGTAGAAGGCTGCATGCGATTTGCACTTGTGCAAACAGGATATGCAAACCAGCAAGTAAATATTCAATAAAACAGAAATCGTAATTAGTCTGAGAAGCATCGGATTTGCCCAAGCTGTGGTCAACCACAAACTACTTTGTTTAAAGCTCGCTATACCCCAGTAGAGGAAAAAAAATCATTTTCGGACCGCTTGTTCGATTTTCTAATAGTTAATGGAGTCAAATCAACCACCAAATGTATCCATAGAGAGGTGGAAAAAAACATTGAAGGAGCAAGATAGAAAATGAACAAAGTTCTAACAATGAATAAGGTTTCGCTCAGGAAACTCCATTTATTCCAAAATCGAATTTTAAAAGCAAGTCTCTGATGGCATTATCGAATGTTCTGATGAGATTTTTTCTATGAACATTCATACGCCAATCACTAGTATATGGCTAGCTTAACTGTACTGTATGTGTAGCCACACAAAGAAACAATAACATTCTGTACATTTATCTCACATGTATTTAATAGAGCTGATTTACTGATTTGTGTTCTAGCTTTTATCAGGCTCACTCTTCTGAAACCTAGATCACTATATTACTAACCAGTAGTGATGTGCGGGGGCTTGGTGCAAACCAAGTTTCGCCCATGCCCATGCCCATACTAAACAATCACTTGACAAACACTTCCTCCTAACTCAATCAGTTGTGGCAGAGGCATTCCCTGTCCCTTTTTGACATGTTGCTGCGGGACAGGTAATGTCCCAGCTGTAACTTATTCAGCTGTGAGGGGGCTGCGTCGATGACAGTTTTGCATGGACTTGCACATCTCTGCTGCACTTCACTATTGACCAGTACTTCTAATTTGCCTTTGGCCCTAAGCAATCCAGTTTTTACCTTTCATATTCGAAAGCTGCTACATATCGTTCACTGCCACGAGATGCGGGTAAAGCGTCTACTCTGTCTGGGGGAGGGTGATTCTCTGCAGCTTTGGCAAGTGTCTGATTTCTGAAAATATACACAAATATTCACAAAGAATACATTATTCAAATAACGGCTTTACAGGTTTAGAACACAAGAAAAAGAACATATACAGTATATTTCCTTGATCATATTACAACTTACAGGTTAATAGCATGGGGTATTGCTTACATTTTTTTTATATGTCAGCATCAATAATAATAATAAAATGAAATGACAGGATACATCCTAAAACATCTTGTACTTACTGAATGGCCAGAGATGCATATTAGCGTATAGCTTTTACTTGTACATATAAAAACAATAAATCTTTATTTAATTGCAGCAAAATATATACAGCCTGATCTGCTTAATTTGATTTAATGATCATGATATGGTCTTGTATCTCGCAGTAGTAGCTACTACCATCAATATGGTAGTAGCCAGATATACTCCTATCCCTCCACTAGAGTTTCATCCTTGCTTCCTGCACTACAAGCATGTTTCATCTGTGTTCCAACCTGTTCTGCCCCAGCATAAATGTTAAGTACCTTCTCCGTAGTATACCTGCGGCTCTGTCCAAGCCTGCTTCCAAAAGCAACAAACATTACATTTCCTACTAGTGTATTGAGATCGGGAAATGTCTCAGTGCCTGTGATTGGCGCTGTCAGCTTCCTGGCGGGCTCGGCACGAGGAGCTGCGGACATGCCTGAGCCCATCACTACCCAGGAGTACTGGATATTTCCTCTGGCTCCTAATGCAAAACCCAGCAGTGGGGGAGTGAAGGAAAAGGAAGTAAAAACTGAGGTGGGGGATTAAACCTGTTGCACTAAATAAGCAAAACACACATTTGCTTTACCCTGAACTCTAACACTTAATTTATCCCTTAAATCCCAACACTTCACCACAACCCCTAAACATCTACACATACAGTTTTAGACACCACGAGCACCCAGTCCAGATATATATATATATATATATATATAGAGAGAGATAGAGATAGAGAATATAGCTAGGAGGTAAGGTCCAGCAGAACTTTACATGGCCCTTGGTAAAATAAAGAGATAGAAGTGGTGACAAAAGGTACATAGGCAGCAGTACCAGCATGAGGCACAATGAAATTCCTTATGTAAGTGAAGGAAAGAAGAGAAAAGTATTTATTTACAATGCATAAAACTTACATTTGTATAATCTGTGATACTGGCTTTCTTTTGTATCTGGAAATCATTCTAGGACACAAGTCACTTATTCATGTCTCCACAATGCCTGCATTGTACAGAAATGTGCATGTTAGTTTGTATCTTTCCTTTCTCATTTTTAGAGCAACTCATTCACTTAGCTAATTAAAAAAAAGCTGTCACACAGTTAGTAAACAAAGACATGTGATTGCTATGTCAGTATATACATGTCATCACATGGCTTTCTTGATGATTAGGCCTCATTCACACTGCCGTACAATACGCTGCGTATATGCGCGTATTGTCCCATATGCAAATAAATGGCTCCATACACATAGCTGCGTATGGAGCCGTGTATTTGCCCTGTGTACAGATGCGCAAATACAGAATGGACCCAAGATGCGTTCGGGCAACGTATTTCTGCGTATTTTACCCGCGTACAGTTCATCAAAATTTCTATTACCAATGATGCATTCTGGGATTGCATCTAGTGCACGCAATATACAATTTTGCTCTTGCGTTGGGTGTGCATGAGTCCATAAAGTCACATGTGATTGCCATGTCAGCACTTTTTAGGCCTTTCTTCCTTTTTACATTTTAACCTGATGATCCATGATCCTGCTATCAACACACATCCTGTCCTAGGGTGACAATGCTCACTCACTGCATCTTTGGACCAGTGTTGTGCAATACACAGGGAGACATAAGAAATTTTTTAACACAACACAGTCTGAGTCTGAGTCTGCCCAAGCCCACTCAAAACTATGACCACAGTGGCATTCCCTTACACCTTTGTAATGTGTAGCTGCAGGGTTGGGAATGTGCATGCCACAACTGATTGGGCTGGAGTTGGTGGGGGTGGAATTTAGGTCGGTCATAGTTTTGAGCGGGCTTGGACAGACTGGGTTCACACCAAGCCCCAGCTCATCACTAACCTGTAAAAACACCCCCACTATACAAATGGATAACAACCTTGACTCCAGAGCTATCTATCCACTGCCCCAAACAGCAAGTAATTATGACCTGAGATCTTGTTGCTGGAGTTCCCAGGGTGTCTCTAATATGTGATAGATGACTCAGCCCACCAGACTCCACCTGGAACTGAGATATCATTTTGGGTAGTATGCTTTTTTTCATAAATACTCTCCCATAGAATGACATCCAGCTACATGTGCAGGACAGAGGCGCCGGATCTCTAATCCTGCCTCACTCATCCAGTACAGCGATCCTCCGCTCCACCGTTCATCCTCTGCCCTCTTCACTTGTTTATGTAGCCCTCTGGCTCCTGGCTGTGATAGTTACGAATGTTCGCCCACCTCCTGCTGTCAGGCCGCCGTCAGGACGCTCCATAGTCGTCATGACAGCCGGAAACATCATCTTATGCGCCACCGCCTGTCACATGTTCTTCCAGGAGGCGCTGTGTGATGACGTCACGCAGGAAAATACCCATAGATTGTCTTTAATGTGACAGTGCTGGATAATACTTGCGGAGAGAACCCGGTGCAGGTAATGGCTCAGAGGAGATTTACATGAAAGCCTCACAAATGATTATTTATTATGGAGTCGTAGTGTGCTTTTCTTTATTCCATGTTTATTTTCATTAGCACTTCACACTAAATACATGTTCTTATGTGACAGCTGTTGGCTCTTCTGCCCCTTATTTTTAAAAGTCTATATTTATCTCACCCATAGATCCCATCTATATTACCCCAACCAATGTTATCCCACCCATACCTTCCCTCTGTATTATCCCACCCATAGCTCCCCTCTATGTTATCCCACCCATAGCTCCCCTCTATGTTATCCCACCCATAGCTCCCCTCTATGTTATCCCACCCATAGCTCCACCTCTATGTTATCCCACCTATAGCTCCACCTCTATGTTATCCCACCCATAGCTCCACCTCTATGTTATCCCACCCCTATGTTATCCCACCCATAGCTCCACCTCTATGTTATCCCACCCATAGCTCCACCTCTATGTTATCCCACCCATAGCTCCCCTCTATGTTAGCCCAACCAATGTTATCCCACCTATATTATCCCATCCATACCTCCCCTCTGTATTATCCCAGCCATACCTCCCCTCTATGTTATCCCAGCCATAGCTCCCGTCAATGTTATCCCACCTATATTAGAGGATATCTAGTGTCAGGAAAAAGTCTTACATTATCACTTTTTGAAATTGAGGTATTATTAGCTTTTATTTGTTCAATGTTGGAAAATCAATCTTTATTTCAGAAATGGATAAGCAGCGAAAATTGTTGCTTGTGGAAGATTTTGTAGAATATCATCTTTTCCTGGTACCTGATGAACACAGTGATGCTGAGAAGCACAAACACATTCTGCTGCAATACATAGAGCAGATATTAGCCAAGCTTGCCCCTCTACTGGCTAACTACATCTGGCAAAACCAACCATTTAACCTCCGGTTAAAATCCAAGAAAGGTAAGTTTGCGCTTCTCCATGCCCATCTAGACACTTTGTTGTGTGTATTTACGTAGGTTTGCAGGGAAAGCGTGCGTGTGTGTGTGTGTGTGTACAGTGTTTGATTTCTTTCTTGCAGTCCTTGCAAATCCTTTTGTTGGTGGGAGCTTTAATTTGATTAGGGGCCCACCAGCTAAATGTATTTTATATATGTTATGTTTGGGTGGCTGTTCTCAAGTTGCGCTATGGGCTTCTATTCTGGGGACTCCATAAGAAATGTCTCCCTACCAATAGACCAATGTATGTGCCATGGCACGTAAGTGGTGATGTCATTCTAACTGGACTCTTTAAAATTGACTCTTACATATGTAATGTTTTAAAAACACTGTGATACTTTAAATAAGAACTCCCAGGTATGCAAAAAAATTAACCCTTTGCAGGGGGCTGCCCCTGGACTGCTAGTGTTCGTTTTTATTTAGGGGCTAAAAAAAATACTCACCTTATCCTCGTTCCCGCCTGGCTTCTAGACTGGTCCCCACAGCCTCTTCTCCGCTGGGCTCTGGCGGTCTAAGCCCTACTGACGTCATCATTTTTAATACAGGCCATTCACATGTATTTGACATGAGGACGCAAGGTACATTCCATAGTCGGAGCAGAGAGGTCACCTCCACAGGATTGAGGATCAGGTGAGTATATCTTCTTGATTCCGGCCTCAAGTGAAAAACAAGCGGTCAATCCTTGCAATGGGGGGAGGGGGGGCATCTGTCTTAGAGAATTGTAAGAGACTAGTTTGTGATTTAACATTCTGGAGTCCACTTAGAAATGAAAAACAAATCGCATAAGTTTCAGCTACTTTTGTTGCTAAGATTTGTTTAAGATTAAACTTAATAAAGTTCTTTCTCATTCAGGTGACTTTCCTGCTCATATTGGAGGAAAAACACATTTTGGTGACAACATTGAGGACGAGTGGTTTATTGTTTATCTAATCAAGCAAATTACAAAAGAGTTTCCAGAACTCACAGCCAGGTACTGTGTTTTCTATACTTGCTATTTTGCAATCATTCCTTCATGTTGTAAAGCTGCTCATTGAAAAATAATGTGGCACGTTTAAAGGAGAACTATGGGGTCAGTGTTTTTCCCCATAGTCTGTATAGCTTTAGAAAAACTGTCACATGACACTTAACAAAGGGTACCATATTTGGTATCTGCGAGTACTCGAGGAAAAGTATTGGTACTTGTCATTGGTCTGGAAAAAATGGTATCGGTGCAGCCCTAGGTTTTTTTGAACACCTGAGACCCCCAATAAGAGTGTACTATTTGTCAGCAAGGCACTCTCGATGGAAAGGGAGCCACCATGTGGGTGGGACTTATGTTCCAAATCTGAGACGTTGGGGCCTCCATAGCAGAAATGAAACTAATCTTAGATGTCTTTGGACTAGAGAAGTAATAGCAGCCATTTGCACCACCTGCTCTTAAATGTTAATTTTGAGTAAATTGCTGCTTTCTGCATTGAAACACTGAACGTAAGAGCTTTGATAATTCTGTCCTATAAAGGGTTGAAGACAACGACGGAGAATTTCTGTTGATTGAAGCAGCTGATATCCTGCCCAAGTGGCTGAAGCCAGAAAATAGCTGCAATCGGGTAAGCAAATATTTTTGTAATTATTGATATCTCCATTGCTCGGTGGTACATGGAAGGGGGGGAAAAAAACCGCAACAATTTATGCAAAAAAAAAAATAGATCAAAGTCCAAAACCAAAGAGATATACATTAGTCCCATCATAAAATGTAATCTAAATAAAACATTTTGGTTCCATACAGCATTCTGAATATTTGTAAAATATATATTTTTAATAGACATAACAATTTTACTTACACTATATGGACAAAAGTATTGGGACACCCTTCCAAATCATTGGATTCAGGTGTTCTGTGAAATTTCCTTGCTACTAAATATTCCACGGTCAACTGTTAGTGGTATTATAACAAAGTGGAAGCAACTGGGAACAACAGCAACTCAGCCACAAAGTGGTAGGCCACGTAAAATGACAGAACGGGGTCAGCGCATGCTGAAGCGACCAGTGTGCAGAAGTCGCCAACTGTCTGCAGAGTCAATAGCTACAGACCTCCAAACTTCATGTGGCCTTCAGATTGGCACAACAACAGTGCATAGAGAGCTTCATGGAATGGGTTTTCATGGCCGAGGAGCTGCATCCAAGCCTTACATCACCAAGTGGAATGCAAAGCATCGGATGTACTGGTGTAAAGCAGGGCTCAAAATTTCTGCTCGCATTTGGCAAGTGAAAATAAAATGAGGGTGAGTGGAAATTTTTGGGTCTCAAAGTACCGGTCTAAGGGGCAACTGCGGCCTGCGAACCGGTGCTATGTGGGACGCAGCAAGCTGACAAGTCAGGCACACGGTCGCAGACAGCGTGCCTGACTTGCGGGAGCAGCTACACGGTCTGCATCTCTGTCAGATGAAGACCGCAGAGCTGTTCCTGTCAGCTCCGGCTTCCTTCGGCTGGAGCTCTGACAGTTCTGAGCTTAGGCTGAAAGCAAGGATGTATTAGTGAGGTCTGCAGCAGACCTTACTAATCACCCCTGGAGCACCGGGGATCAATCCTCCACACAGCCTCCTCCATCTGCAAAGATGTGAGCAGGTGAGGGGACTCACGGGGGGAGTGTATTATTATTTTGTGCGATTAGGGATTCTGGTGTCAGGAACTTGTGTTTTCCCTAATCTGCCGTTTACAAGCGGCAACTATCATAAGATAAGAATTATCATAAGATCATTTAAGAGGGCGCGTTTAGGGGAGGAGTTAAGGCCGCAACAGGGTAGAGGTTAGGTGGGGCAACTAGTGGCAAGTAACTCTTTAGGCCAGGCTAGTAGCTCAGGAAATTTTGAGCCCTGGTGTAAAGCATGCCGCCACTGGACTCTAGAGAAGTGGAGACGTGTTCTCTGGAGTGACGAATCACGCTTCTTTGTCTGGCAATCCGATGGGCGTGTCTGGGTTGGCAGTTGCCAGGAGAACGGTACTTGCCTTACTGCATTGTGCCATATGTAAAGTTTGGTAGAGGGGGGATTATGGTGTGGGGTTATTTTTCAGGGGTTGGGCTTGGCCCTTAGTTCCAGTGAAGGGAACTCTTAAGGCATCAGCATACCAAGACATTTTGGACAATTTCATGCTCCGAACTTTGTGGGAACATTTTGGGGATGGCCCCTTCCTGTTCCAACAAGACTGCGCACCAGTGCACAAAGCAAGGTCCATAAAGACATCGATGAGTGAGTTTGGGGTGGAGGAGCTTGAGTGGCCTGCACACAGTCTTGACCTCAACCCGATAGATCATTACTTTTGCCACACTTTAATGTTTCAGATCATCAAACAAATTTAAATATTAGTCAAAGATAACACAAGTAAACACAACATGCAGTTTTTAAAGGAAGGTTATCATTATTATTATTATTATTAAGGGAAAACAAAATCCAAACCCACATGGCCATTTGTGAAAAAGTGTTTCCCCCCCCCTTAAAACATAACTTAACTCTGGTTTATCACACCTGAGTTCAATTTCTCTAGCCACACCCAGGCCTGATTACTGCCACACCTGTTCGCAATCAAGAAATCACTTAAATAAGACTTGACTGACAAAGTGAAGTAGACCAAAAAATCCTCAAAAGCTACAAATCATGCCGAGATCCAAAGAAATCCAGGAACAAATAAGAAACAAAGTAATTGAGATCTATCAGTCTGGAAAAGGTTATAAAGCCATTTCTAAAGCTTTGGGACTCCAGCGAGTGAGAGCCATTATCCACAAATGGCGAAAACATGGAACAGTGGTGAACCTTCCCAGCAATGGGCGGCCAACCAAAATTACCCCAAGAGCGCAGCGACGACTCATCCAAGAGATCACAAATGACCCCACAACAACATCCAAAGAACTGCAGAATCACTTGCCTCAGTTCAGGTCAGTGTTCATTGACTCCAACATAAGAAAGAGACTGGGCAAAAATGGCCTGCGTGGCAGAGTTCCAAGACGAAAACCGCTGCTGAGCAGAAAGAACATAAAAGCTTGTCCCTGTTATGCCAGAAAACATCTTGATGATCCCCAAGACTTTTGGGAAAATACTCTGTGGACTGACGAGACAAAAGTTGAACTTTCTGGAAGGTGTGTGCCCCACTACATCTGGCGTAAGAGTAACACCGCATTTCAGAAAAAGAACATCATACCAACAGTAAAATATGGTGGTGGTAGTGTGATGGTCTGGGGCTGTTTTGCTGCTTCAGGACCTGGAAGACTTGCTGTGATAAATGGAACCATGAATTCTGCTGTCTACCAAAAAATCCTGAAGGAAAAATGTGCGGCCATCTGTTCGTGACCTCAAGCTGAAGCAAACTTGGGTTCTGCAGCAGGACAATGATCCAAAACACACCAGCAAGTCCACCTCTGAATGGCTGAAGAAAAACAAAATGAAGACTTTGGAGTGGCCTAGTCAAAGTCCTGACCTGAATCCTATTGAGATGCTGTGGCATGACCTTTTAAAAAGGCGGTTCATGCTCGAAAACCTTCCAATGTGGCTGAATTACAACAATTCTGCAAAGATGAGTGGACCAAAATCCCTGCACAGCGCTGTAACAGACTCAATGCAAGTTATCGCAAACGCTTGATTGCAGTTCTTGCTGCTAAAGGTGGCCCAACCAGTTATTAGGTTTAGGGGGCAAACACTTTTTCACACAGGGCCAGGTGGGTTTGGATTTTGTTTTCCCTTAATAATAAAAACCTTCCTTATATACTTCTTGTCTTGTTCTTCCCTTTCCTCCTTTCTCTTACATTCCTCCGTCCCTTTTTCTGTTGCAATATTTTTATTAAAGTTTTCAGAGGCATAACAGTATAAAACAAACTGACATTTCCATGAATACAATCGTTCAGAGGAGAATAACAATCATACAACTTATGGTAAATAAAGATATTTTTCAAATGGTATAATTGTACTCTTATTCCCCCACACCCTTAAAATATGTGTATTAAGTGAGTCAAGGCACACTGGGCTTTACAGCCTAACCAAGGGCTCGGGAGAAGACGGTATGGATTGCCAGGAGAGGGAGAGAGGGAGGTCAACAGGGTAGGAAAAGAGGGGGAGCAGTGTCGGGTATAGTGGGGAAAAACAGGGGGGGAAGGACGACATCAACATCCTTATTAGTATTGGTAGCTTCAAGTAAGCGGGTAACTCCAGGTCGGACCCTTGATCGGTTCTCATGCTGCAGGGATAGTACCTCCCATTCCCAACATCCCTCTGGGCTCCATGTCATGTTGCGTGCCTAGATACCTCTGAAGCTATTTAGATCCATATTGGGGTGTTGGTGGAGAATCCAAGGTTCCCAGATGTGCAGGAACTTGGTTTGTGAATCCTCCAGGATACTAGACAGCCTTTCGTTCAACATGATATTGTCCAACCTACGTGTAAACTCCATATATGTTATTTGTTGCTTTTTCCAGTTTACACGATCTAGGGTCATACATTGTTCACCCCCTTATTATCAGTACAAGAGCGCTGTTTGTACGTTCTGTGAAGCAATGTAGCGAGCAGTCTATATATTTTGATCCAGAATCGGGTGGCCATAGGGCATTGCCACCAAATGTGTAGCATATCGCCCGGCTCCCGACCCTCCGTCCCTTTTTCTACCCCTGATGTGTATCTAAAAAACCCCTATGCACTACTCATGAACTGCAAAAAATTACAATGGGGGGGATTTATCAAAACTGAAGCAGACAAAAATCTGGAGCAGTGAAGATTTGAAAATGAAACAGAGAAGCTGATTGGTTACCATGCACAGCTGCTCCAGTCTTGAAAAATTCTCATCAATGTGTCTAGGGTAAACCAAAAGCGTTGCATTCAAAACCCAGAACAGTTTATTAAAATGTGTATTAAAAAAAGAGAAAAAAACCATGCATCATAATAAAACAATAAACTAAATCAAGTTGGACTCACCCCCCTAAAAAAAACACCCCTTAATCTCAAAATACAAAATCAAATAATGATCAGTATCCAACATTTTTTTTCTTTTTTTCCTGTTCAGGTGTTCTTTTACCATGGAAATTTATGTATCATCCCATTGCAGCAGGATGAGGGAGACCTGCCTGAGCCGTCATCCAATATGACTGTATTGCAAGCTCTGAAACTTCTTTCTGCACACCCCAATGGATTCTTGGCATCAGAGTCCATCACAAAGGCTATTGAAAGGCGAATTAAAGGGTAAATACTTGTATATTCATTTGTTATACACTGAGGATGGAAAAAGGCAGCTGCCATGTTATTCATAAAATGGGGAAAAAAATCTTTCTTGCCTCTTCAGTCACAGTTCAATTAGTTCCCTCGATCAGTCTCCTACAACATGAATTACACTTATTATAACTGGAGATAGACTGATTGCCTTTATTTGAAATCTATCATTTCACCTTCAGAAGAATTTCAATTTAGTTTGGTTGCCATGCCTGAAAGTTCCCTCAGCATCCCAACTGTATTTCGGTTATAAAGACCTCTGATATGCTTGTGTGTGTCTGCCAGGATCCAGCAGCTGGAAGAACATACAGAAGCAAGCTTTATTATGTAACAGAGCAAAGTATGATGATATAAAAACCTAACATATGGTAATATGAGAGACTTAAAGCACAGACTTGCAGACAAAACTTATTTTTTTTATT